AGGGGTGCAAGATTGAGCCGGGCTGGACCCGATCTCTGAAAGGGAACCCAGGACAGCTCTGAGGGAAGGGTTCCGGCCCGGGGTGCTCCAAGGTTTCTAGGCTGGTGACTAGGCAGACACGGAGGCTGAGCATGGCTGAACCCAGACACTGTGAGGGATCCAGACCATGAGGCGGAATGTGTAGCCATGGGGAGGTCCCAGAGCGCAGACAGAGGAAGCCCTGGACAGCAGGAGGGCTGGGTCAGCGAGCAGGACCCGTGCAGTATGGTGAAGAGAGACAATCACCCTGTGATTCGGGGTCAGGAGATGAGGGAAATACTCAAGGCCCTGTCTGCTTTCTATTGAGGGCGGTCAGAGTTATTTACACTGTTGAATTTGTTTCTTTTTTGAATAGATAAAGCAAGGTGGTTAAAAATGAATGGGTCCTGGCCAGGCGCAGTGGCTCAAACCTGTAATCCCAGCACTTTCGGAGGTTGAGGCGGGTGGATCACCTGAGGTTGGAAGTTCAAGACCAGCCTGACCAACATGGAAAAACTCCATCTCTACTAAAAATACTAAATTAGTCAGGTGTGGTGGCGCATGCCTGTAATCCCAGCTACTCAGGAAGCTGACGCAGGAGAGTGAGGAGAGTCTCTTTTTTTGTTTCGTTTTTTGAAACGAAGTCTTGCTCTGTCACCCAGGCTGGAATGTAGTGGCGCGATCTTGGCTCACTGCAAGCTCCACCTCCCGGGTTCAGTTTACCCCATTCTGAGGCAGGAGAATCTCTTGAACCTGGGAGGTGGAGGTTGCGGTGAGCCAATATCTCGTCATTGCACTCCAGCCTGCGTGACAAGAGTGAAACTGTCTCAAAAACAAAACAAAAAAAATGAAAGGGACATGCTGAGATGTGTCACTTAGACACTAGTTCCTGCGTGAACATGAGGTGGACAAGCTCCTCCCCACATTCGACAGCAAACATTGTCTCAGATGGTGAAAGCACCTCCAGTGCCTGCCCAGGGGCCTGAACGTTGTAAAATGACAGAAAGAGACTAGGTGTGGCGTCTCACACCTGTTGTCCCAGCACTTTGGGAGGCTGAGGCAAGAGGACCATGAGCCTGGGAGGCAGAGTTTGTAGTGAGACGAGACTGTACCACTCTAGCCTTGGTGGCAGAGTGAGACCCTGTCTCACACACACCAAAAAAAGGCCGGAAGCCGGGCGCGGTGACTCAAGCCTGTAATCCCAGCACTTTGGGAGGCCGAGATGGGCGGATCACGAGGTCAGGAGATCGAGACCATCCTGGCAACAGGCATGAAGCCACCACAGCCGCAATTTTTTTGTAATTTTTAGTAGAGATGAGATTTCTCCATGTTTTGGCAGCGCTAGTCTCGAACTCCTGACCGTCAGGTGATCCACGGGCCTCAGCCTCCAAAATGCTCGGGCATTCACAGGTGTAGATCCACTGTACCAGCGTGCCCTGCCGTTTTTTTTTTTTTTTTTGGAGACAGGGTAATCACTCCTCTGTTCACCCAGGCTGGGAGTGTAGTGGGACGAATCATGGTTCCCCTGCAGCCTCCAGCCTTCCCTAGGGTCATAGTGCTTCTCAGCCTCCAGTCCTCACCAAAGTAGCTGGGACTGCACAGCCTTATGATCAGAGCACACTGGGCTACATTTCAATATTTTTTGTAAGAGACAGGGCGGTCTTGCCATATTGCCAGGCTGGAATTCTTACCCTTTTGTTATCGTATTTAAGGGTATCTTTCCTTGCGTACCGGCCATCCGCTTACATGGTTTTTCTCTCTGGATTTCGACACCCACAGT